GCGAGATAGATGTCGCCAGAAATAAGTCCATTTTGATAACACTAAAAAAGTCATATACGGATAATAAAACTTAAAGAATATAGATAGTCTGTCATGGCCAATATCTTTTTGCTACACCTACTGCAAGCAGAACTTCGTGGACATTCTTTGGAGACACCTTCTCACCCGAGTATACTAACTTTTCAAAAAATTACCTCTCATTTTGACCTAAGGTGGAAGTGACCGGACCCACTATATATTTTAGAAAGAGCAATACGAGCTCTTTCTAGCGCGATGTCGAACGGCTCTGTACGATTCATACTTATTTTACTAGAGAGCATTCTTTGACGACACCTCACCTTGTGATGGTCAACTTTGTTCCGTATTTTTTCGTATGTGTAGGATGACATCATCTGTGTAAAATGACTATTCTTATTTCCCTTTCTTGAATGAATAAAGTTTAAACTAAACTAAAAGCAAGTTTTGACCGCTTTGTTTCTTCACATACTGACATTTAGGTGAGAAATGCAGAACGCAAAGAAAACATTCAATTTTTGTTTGTTTGAATCAGAAGGATGACTCAGAGATAGATAAAAAAAGTTTGATAGGCATATCAAACTTTTTATCTTTCGTTGCTAGAGGCCTATAATGTCATTTTCTGAACGAAAGAAATTAGGTAAATGTTCAGCTCAATATTAAAATACTAAACTGATCGAATGAGAACGGTAGCTCAGCCATATCAAATTGCGGTTTATAGATGACTGACCATCCTGGTTCATGTCCCTCCAAGACGCTTGCAAGTTTGAATGTGTATTGGTACTTGTATCATTGGCCGTGTACAAACATGCAAATGTCGATTTAGTTGAGCTTCCAGACGACTTACCATGATTTACAGCGACCAGGTTTATATCTCGATCGAAAGACCACTTTTCAGTGTCCTTCAGCCGCTGTTGCTCTTAGTTTTTTACCGAAAACAATGCCCCTACGAAAGCAAAATGTTTATCATCCGGTCATCCGGTCTTCTATTTACAGTCGAGAAAATGAACGTCTTGATACATATTTTCAATCAAAGTAAACTCTAGTGGTATAGTATCTTTGAAATATAATCACCATTTTAACATTCTCTACAACATTCAAAACAAGCGATTTCTTTCAGGGCGCAACAAAAACAGCAACAGGCCAGACTAAAAGAGAAGAAGGTAAACAAAGCCTTTTAGAAGAATATAGCGTGCAATAATACTTTACCAATCAAAACAAACGCCACCACCACTTAAACCTTTAGGAAAATTTTCACGTTGTTCCATCCTTGGTTGTTGAACAATCGTAGTTGATGGAGCTTTGTGGTCAGCTGAAAACAACACATTACATTATGATTCGTCATGATTTGTATAAACTCGTCTTACACGCTTCTTCTTGTTTCAGCTTAAATACAGATCTAGAGAAAAACGATCATCATCAAAAAACTGAACACTTCTTGAGTAATTTATGACCTTACGATTGAACTGGTTGTTGCTGATGAATAAACGCTGCCATATTTGTCACAATTATTTTGAAAGAGGAAATCAAAATAAAACAGGGACGGTGAACACGCGAACTAAGTTGAAAATGATAGACACTTCTGCCAGCAATCAACTAGTTTAACTAACGTCTTTGCCGTTAAACTATCGAATGAATATTTTCTCAATCCTTCGTTTTTTTCTCCTTACTTGCCGTTTTCCCTTTTTATTATTTTTTTTATGCTTGTTCTTAATGATCCGTTGTTATTCATCTCATGGTCTGAATTATACTGTCACAAAAAGCTGTTACCTACACACGAAAGAAAAAATAATTTTAATATCTGCCAAAGAATAGTTTCATCTCTTTTCGTTTTTTCTTGAATCTTTGGACGGATTGGCACTGAGAAGAAAAACCGTTAATTTTATTCATTTTTTTCAGTAACATTATGTACTATTACAGAGTTGATTCTGTGTATGCATGAACAGCTGGAATTTTCTAGAATATAATCACTTAATTAGAAATCAGTGCGATCACCCATTGAACAAGGATAGTGATAAGTAAAGAATATCCTATGTGTTCAATCAAATAAATTCAAATTATATATGATAAATTAGTCAAACTACAAGCAATAAAGGACAAACGTTTCATTTCAGCAGAGAGTGACATTCATCTTGAGTTCGAGGGAACCTCTCCAAATGTTCCTTCGTTTTTTTAACGAAATGTCGTATGTTATAGGTAAGCGTTCATGCTGATTCCGAATACGATAGCCGTTCTCCCTCAGTTTACAAGAAAAGCCCAAAATGTTCATTGTCACCTTAGAGCTAGAGAAAGTACAAGGAAAAATTTCTGTAATGGTCTTAGAGCCGATCGCATGTCTTAATAACTATTTTTCTATCAATAAAGCTTAAACCAAAAGGAAAATGAATTCAGGGCTTTTCTTGTAAACTCTATAACTTTGCACAGAAAGGACGTGTAGTGCTAAAAGGTGTCTCATTTTAATCACAAAGTTGCAGGCTACAATCGTGACTCATTTATTGAAAGTTTTGAGTATTTTTCGAAGTTTCTGGAAAACCAGTTTTCTAGAAATCGGCTACGAAAGATCTATGGCGAAAAGTGGCTATCATATTCGGAATCAGTATGATGAAGAATTGATCAAAATCCTAACACTATTCATGTATTTACAAGGTAAAAATGTTCACATAATTCTTTTTTGTGGTTCAGAACAGTATCTTAAGTTTCTCAGTTTTATTATTGCTGACTGACATCTGAAACCATCTCATAATGAAATGTTATCTCGAAAAATGTGACTTATCCTTTTGATGAATCTAGCATTTTGTTATTTCAATCTGTTTAGAAATGGTTATTATATTAAAAATTTTCGAAAACTTCTTGATCATATGACATCAGAATATAATATAATATTAGTTTCAATAGGTACTAATGTACAATCAACAGCAAAATTACATTCTAAACATATATTAGATTTTACTCAACATGATGCTAAAAATATTAGTTTAATGGCCGGTATTAATCATCACGAGTTACTTTATTCAGAAGTACAGTTAATAAAACATACGTTAGCAGAAGAAATAACAAATTCACGAGAAGCAGCTAAATTTATTTTTGAAAGAAAATCATTGTTACCGCATATTTATCAAGCATTTCAGTTTTTATTAACAAGTAACGTTCATCATTCTGATTCACTTATCCCTTGACTGGAAAGGAATCGTCAATATAAAGTTGTTTCTATAGAATAAAATAATTATCTTTTTCGTTCACATTACTTTCTGCAGAACATTCTCAAGAAGCAGCAGCAAGCTAAAACTATGGGAAGCTACTAAAAAACTGCTGGGAAACTCCGGAAAATAGCTAGGAAACTGATGGACACTCTGGGAAACTAAGAGAAACTGCAAGAAAGCCGAAGATAAGTGCAATCAAACAAAAGGAAACTAGAGATTTTGAAAGGAAACTAGAGATTTTGAAAGGAAACTAGGAGAAATCGATGGGAAACTACTGTATGCAGCTAAAAGCTTGATAAAAACAAGAACCAGCACGCAACAATTTAAGAAATGCTTGTCTCGCTGCGCGCCTTTGGCTCTTGCTTCGACGCGCATTCTTTAACTGGCTGAACTTTCTTTTGACCGAAGCAGTTTTTTCTTAATGATCACTTACCATGAGCTGGAGCTATTTTCGTTACACACCTCACCGGCATGATGCTTCCCCTTGCTCACGTGGTTACTAACCGGAAATATCTACTCTGTCCTGAACCACACATTTCTGTCTTGATCGGCGGTCTGCGACTTCCTTTACCACTCGCTATCTCTCTCATTTCGAAGACCAACAATAAGATTAGATCGGCAACACCAAAACTAATTTCTTATCGGATATCGAAAGAAAAAAGCCGTATCTACGATTAAATGATCGGAGCTACTTTTTACATAAATGCTTGTCCACCAGGATTTCGCCTTGAACCTTGATCCTTTCGCACCGGACATTATTCCTATGGATACCTCAATAGAATTTACCAGTTTCCCTTCGTTTCTCAAAAAAGCCTGCACACAACACACAATGTGCTCACTACTCTCGTGTGTTAGGACACAGATAGGTGTATCCATCGGCCCGCTAATAATATGTGTGTCTGTCTGTCCGCTACTAATTTGTGTGTCTGTCTGTCTGGCTGCGGACATACATAACATTCAGGCATTTTTTTAATTCGATAAAACCCATTCCTTTACAGTCAAAACAATATCATTATCATCTAATCAAGCTGAGCTGGAATTTGCGATCAATAGAATCGATTCTGGAGGTCGCTCATAAACAGTTTCTGATTTCTCATAGTCGACTTATTCCACAAGATAACGCTCGTCTGCATTCGCTCGGTCCATTGACTTTAGGAACTTATATGTACGGAACGACCTTCCATTACTTTGAATCCAAAAGAACGTTCACATGGTCGATGTTCGCTAGGGGACTATCTAAAATACGTTATGATTTTTCTTTAATTTCAGTTGTAAGCTTCGTAATCTAATCTAAATCTTGTTTTCTCTAAACTCTCCAAAGAACCTCAGAGGTCCAAAAGTATTTCTGAATTCAAGACAATGCTCACGCCTCCCTTCGGTCGGCGTTCGCACAGGATAGTTGAGAAATGTTGTAAACTTCTCTCATTCCACGGAAAAAGTGCACAATGTAACAGAAAGCTTAAGCGTTTTCTGGACACTAGTGAACTGCATTGGGCTCCATGGAGTTGGAGATGGAGTTCCAAAATCGAAAATTTGTGGAGTTGGAGTTGGAGTTGAGTTTGCAAAATCGAAAATTTGTGGAGTTGGAGTTGGAAAGAAAATCAGGCATTTTTTTGGAGTTAATTCTGGAGTTGTATCAGTAAAAAAGACAAGTACGTTTTCTTTTATAGATCAACAATTTTATTTCATGAATTAAATAACAAACGTAAATTTACTATCTAAACTTCATAAATTACAAGCCATAACATTCGTACTTTATCACATAGCGGAAAAATAGTAAATCAACTAATCAAGAAAAACTTCCATGTTATCGAAATCATTTAAACTTTCGTCAGTATCAAGTCGTTGTTGTTTAGTTGTAATGTAAGCAGATTCATCAGAAGACGTGGTGGTTGTTGATGACATCGATAATGTTCGTCTTCGATTACTATTGTTGATAAGTTCTTTTAGGGTATTTAAATTCTTTTGTAAGAACAACAATTCGTTTATTTTGTTAGCACCCAAACGTGTTCTCTTTTCAGTCACAACATTTTTCGACGATGAGAAAAGTCGCTCAACGATAGTATTGGATGCTGGTATTGCAAATATCTGTCTAGCTAATGATGACAGAGTTGGAAACAAATGTTGGTGATTTTTCCAGAATAATAAAATATCAATATCACCATTGTTGTCGTAAATATAATAACTTTCATCAAGTTCAAGATTCAAATAATCATTAATTTCCTGGAATGGATTTAATCTTTCACCAACTACTTTAACTTTCGCATCAAAACATTGTGATAGAAGATTATTTGGTTTTGATGTTGTATTTGATGAAGAAGATTGAACGACAACATGCTTCGAGGTTAATGAATTTGTACAAGATGAAGAAACAATTGATTGATGCTTTTGGAAATGTGATTTTAATACATTGATAGATTTTTCCTTTTCATTAGGAGAACATTCGAACTTTTTAAATTTGGGATGCAAGATGGTTGCTAATCGGTGTTC